GTATTGTGCAATTCAAACAAATTGCCTTAGGAATCTTTTAAAGATTAATTTTACTTAAAATATCGTATCTGCCAAGATTACTTGGTACTTTTGCACCGCACGTACCACTTGAATCAGATTAGTATACTTCTTCTACAGTTTGCAATCCTCTCAGTACTGTTTATTCTGCTGACGTGGAAGACAATATTACAGTTTTTCATCTACCAAATTTAATTTTCGATTACCCACTAGCGTCAACGTAAAAGACGCAAAACCTGCCTAATGTTTGAAAACTGGATTCACTTGATATCACTGATAACTTCACTGAAATCTTAGCTACATGAACTACGTCAATATGAAGCATTGAAAGCAGCCCATACTGTGTAAACATGGTTCACTGAACTTCTACTCCTAATTTCCAGCTACGTATTGACCTCTGCTGGTTAACTACTGATGGCGTTATAAAGAAATAAATGAAGACGTGTTGACCACTCTTATTAAGAATGACAACAAAGTGACTGAATGGAAGATTTACTAATTTAAGTATGTGTTTTGTGGGGAAACCATTTGTGGATTTTTTTACTTTGAAATAACTATAGCTGTTCAGTTGTAAGATATTTTTAAATCGTACATTGTGTGGCCATCTTGACTGTGAGGCTTAATTCTTGCAGAAAAAAATGCAATCTTCAGCATCGATAATAAATTATGTTAATGTTGTTATCGAAGCAAGTGATATACCACATATTAAAATATTTTTTTATCTCATCTGCACCGAGTTTCCATACACATCAAAATTTTCCAACGTTAGCACACTTAAAAGACGCAAAACTAAAAGACACCAGTGTTCATTGAAGGTACAACCAAGTTATCTTGGAGAGTAAAGTTTTCATTTGTGACTGTTTTTTATCAGAAATATATAAAGAAGAGCACTGAACGTCTGATAAGCGTAAAGGTATCTGTTTATAGTATTGGTCTTCAATCAACTGTATAAAACGCTTGAATACTTTTACTGATTACAATAAATCACTGTTCTTACTTTATTTTGCTCACTGAACGTAGAAATAAAATGAAAACGTATGCGATATAATAACATCAAAACATTTCGCGAAATTCTTTAATAATTCCACTATAAAATGCGTATGAAGGCTTAACCATAAACCATTTATATTATATAAACTCCTTTGGCTTATTTTTTTCAAGAAAAAGAGTGTATATAGGTTATAAATTGAACATTTACAAGGTTATACGACAAAATGTGCTTTTAGTATCCTGAAATAAACAACAGTAGTACAAGCTTTATGTACACCAACAATTTCAAACAACAAGACGTTTTATACAACAGAACTTTTTACCGATTGTTCACTTTCACACAAAGGTGCAAGGTGTTTGTTCATCATTACTATAGTTACCCGCAAACATACACATATTTACCACAAACAGTAATGTGAGTAATCAACAAAAAATTACGCAACAAAAAAGTCATGAAAGAAAATTGCAATGAATTAATTCTTGAAGAAAAGCAGGTTTTCCTTATAATTAAGCATCCACAAATAAAATAAAAATTAATTTCTCAAAAGAACTAACAATCTTTATCCACAATCGTTCAAAAAAAAATCATGACATCAGTAAACTATTAATGCAAACGCAGTTTTCAGAACAGGTTGAAAACTTTTGTATTTCTAATCGTTCGCAATGAATCTTAGCACAGCACTTGGAGCTAGATTACAATGTTTATGAATATGTTGTTTTGAAGTTTTGTATCTTAGCTAAATATAATTAGTTGGGTTTATTAAGCCTCATAATATGGGTTTATGCGTGTAAAGTCGAGAATTGTGCTTGAAACCTCATATAATGAAAAGTTAGTTTTGAATAAAGAAAATATTTCGTCGAACCACATATTTATCTTCAACAACATTTTTCTCTTTTTCCGATATTTGTTTTACTGTATTAGAATCAGCGGATAAACCTAGTTATAAATGACATTTATCACTACTGATAATTTGAGTTCTATTTGAATTTATTCCATTTTGAGCTAAGTTTTCCAGTCACACGAGATTTGAACTTTAAAACTTTAAACATTTCAGATGTTTTTCATCTTTAATCATTTATTACAACTGTGGCCTCTTACAAAGGAAAGATCCATAATCAAATACCTCATACAGTATGAGAACTTTGGCTCATATTGATAATCATATACTGATTTAAACAGTAGCAATTTTACTATTTAGCAATACACTACACCACAATTTCGACAACTACTGGCCTTCTACGCGACAAAATATAAAATAATTTAATTGCATTAAATTACAATGATGGCTCACTTATCCAGCAGTTGTTGATAAACAATCACCGACGAAAGAAATAACTATGTCCTTCATGATTTTTTTTACGTCAATACAGTGGCATAGCTAGACATTTTTCCACTGGAAGACAGAAAATGTGAAATTCTCCTAGTACTAGGTACCTGAAATATGCGTCAACACTCTTCTTTAAACAACAATTATGCACGTTCCAGCAACACGTTTCCAGATGATTTAAGGGTCGATCTTTTTTATCACATCTCGCCAAGGATGACCTCCCTCCTCCCTCCCCCCCAGCTACGCCACTGTATAAATCTGGCTATAAACAACGAACAAAGTGGACTGACATCAGTATTCTGTACAACTAAAATTCTGGAGCACAGTTTGGATAGAAGTCTGCATTCTAAAAATTTCTAATCATACTAGTGTGTGTGTATATATATATATATATAAAACCCCAGAATGAATTTATTTAAACTGTTAGAATCTATCTTTCCAAAAACACAAAAATGAAGGGGAAAAAATCAAAATTTCTCGTATCCCTACTTTTGATATTTGAATATACGAAACCTAATATCCTTTAGTATATAAATACGTTTTGCAACAAAAGATTAGGTTAAGACACTAAAGGAGCACAAAACTATACAAAGCAGCAGCTTCAGGATTCCATTCTGTTTTATTTGATTAACAAAATGTTCACGTCAGAAAGTGGAATTTTATGGCTGACAATTGGTTAAACACATAGCTAGCTTGTTACCTTACTCGTGGTTTTACCTAATAGTATAATACTTTCTATATTACAATGTATTGAAAAGAATAAAATAGATGGCAGTAAAAGATGCGTGCGAATTGTCTTATTGTGAGCCTATGAAATGATATTTAATATTTTGTTGTTCCTAAATAAACCTTGTTTTAGGCTAACTAATTGAAAGTAGCCATGTGTACATTCATCCCATGCCAAAATATATCCAAATATACCACAAGGAAAGGCGGAAAATACTTCTCTCACGCCACCTATACAAAAGTAACAAATGCTTCATCATCTAATCGGGAAAAATTTACTAAAATAGCCTAATGAGATTTCAACTACTTTCTATCAAAACCACAGCCGGTTTGTTATAGATGAAAAAATTGAGCGAAATGTAAGGTTTTAAATATCGTAACGTCTGTTTAAAGAGTTTTTGAACTTTTTAGTTTTCTAGTTACAGTATTTAAACCTTCTAACTAAAAATCAGTAGAAATGTTTTAACTGTCTTACATTAAAACTTTAACATATATTTATTTTTTGAACAATAAATATTAAACTTAGCTGAAAAATGCTACAATTTATCCAACCTTTTCAAAAGTCTGTGAAATGGGTAATAGATAATTCTTAATTCATATTTATGGCTTTAAGATTACATAGAGCGAAGCTATGTTTCACACTTCAAAATAATTTTATACTTGTAAATAAAAGTAATTTTAAAAAGTCCATGCTGTTTTTCATCAATATCTTATGAGCTATATCTCTTCTTCTTATTATCTTAACATAAATAATAAGAGTTTATATACAGTAAAGATTAAGTTAACCAAGACGCGATAACTTATACGTTGGTGAACTGAGTTGCTTGCTTACACTTTTTACAGATTATTGTTATTTGATGAAATGTGGGATTGAATTCATGAAACATTTCAAATATATCAAAATTTATAAACAAGAAACTCTGAAAATACTGCAATAAAACTATCACACCATAACAAATTGTGTTCTTTCAGTTGAAATGAAACTTTTACAACTTTGAAGCTTAAAAAAAAGGAAATATACTGCAATAATATAGGCTTTAAAATTATAGACAAAATTCTTCGAGAACGTTTGTTGTTAAGCATAAAGCTACATAGTGGGATATCTGTGCTCTTCCAACCGCGGGTATCAAAACCCAATTTTTAACATTGTAAGCCCCCAGACTTTCTGATGAGCCACCAGGGTGCATTCAAGCAGGTGACAAATACAAAAAGTAATGAGACAGCGAAATGATTCAAACATTTTCTTTTGCATCATGAAACTTAATACTTTGCTACTATAATTGTGTGACCAGTCAAAAATGCTTACAAAATGTGTATAGATAGAAATTTACATTAGGTTTCACACTTCATTATCTAACTCATTTTTCAGATATCCAATCGACTGTTAATATTTTAGTTCTAATCATACATATAAAGTCATTATTTGATTAAAAGCTCATCAGATTAATTTATTTGATTGCCTTTAAGATAAAACAATTTTAAGATATTACCTGACAGACTTATTTTTAAGATTTTAACTCAAGACCAAAATAATTATTTTTTTTTATACTGCATCTTAATTTGTTTAAAATAATAATATCCCAATATAATATCCGGTTGTCATTTCACAACTTTTTAGGCCTAATATACCCATGTTTGCACGTTAGACAACCAAAAGTATGACCACCATTCCCTGTAGTAAGACATCACTGGTTATTAAACTGATACACAGGAATGATCCATCGTAAATCAAATATTTCCTGCCTTGGAACACTCAATAATGAACAAACGCAAGAAGAAAATAATATATCATTCGAGTGGGGCAAAGCGCTAGAAAAGGAAAACAACAACAACAACAACAACATTATATCTGGAATTATTATTTTCTATAATTAAGCTTAGGATAATATTATATATATATATATATATAATTCAATTATATAAGTAATATTATCCTAAAGCAAAATCTTTCCAAAACTGCATAAACTGGATCAGAATGATAGTTTTTACTGCGTGGAAAGAAATACTTCTTTCTACGCACTAACAACTTTCGTTCTCATCCAGTTTATGAAGTTTGGGGAAGATAGCAGCGCTAAACTCAGACACATTTTACCAAAAGTGTTGAATAACTATGCACACACCACACAAACATTTTATAAGTGAGCTTTTGTCAACAAACACTAAAATCTTAAAACGTTTATGTAGTGGCTTAAATTCTACGAGAAACTGTATTTGTAAAGCCTCTAATATATTTCTCACACGCACAAAATATTAGACTAAAGATTCATATATATCAATTACAAATTTTCATCTTGTTGATAAAGTTCAAATCAAATCCAAAAACACAGACATATTAAAGGAACACACAGTTGATTACAATAAGTTATAAACAATATCCAGCTTCGACAAGTTACATGTATGCACACATTATATATATATATATATATACATATTAAAGTTTTGTCAAGAATGATCCTTTTTCTAACGACTAATTTCAGTTTGCTTTACATTGTACATAAAAACACGAAAAAGGATCCACAACGCCTCTTTAAGGTTATTTACCTAAACAATGGCACTTGACAATCACAGCTTTAGCTCTCCTCATATGAGTAGCATCAAAATATATCAACTACCCGGTAGAGGGCAGTGTAACCACAGCATCTAGCTCTTAATTGGTCCACGAATACACAAGCTTCTGTCACACGTTCCATAAGAGCAGCACATTCACATAGAAGCACGTATGTAATCCCGCGTTCAGGACAAATCTTCTTGTGAAAAGTGATTCGACGCAGACCTAGTAGGCGAGGCAAGCGCTTGTAGATCAGTCTCGCACCTGTCCACATCAGCCAGCTACGCTCGAGCTTTTCACGATCTTCTCCCGGAAATACCCGAAAAGCCGAAATTATGTAACCTGTTTTGTTCGTCGTTGGCGCTTTAGGCAGCATATCTATTGGAGGTCTAGCGATTGTGGCAACCTCTTCATAACCAGCTGAAAAACAATTAATATGAATTAACCAAGGAAAAAAACTGATAAAATTAACAACCAAACAAACACTTCTATTAAAATGTTTAGCAAACATCTTTAAAATGTATATCATTATATCACCATCAGAAATATGAAATAGAATATAGAATAGTTTATTTTTAGCCGCGGCATAACGGCTCATAGAATGGCTCTGAATTTTTTTTCAAGTACAAACTTTTAGCTCATAGCTCCATTTCTTGACCG